TCTGAGAACCCCCAATAGTGCGGGTATGCGCACTATTCGCGATATTACTAGGATAAAGGGTAGGACATAGGCCATAACGACGGTTATGAAGGTGCCACTGTAGTACATACAACCAACAAGGGGCTGAATAGGTATCAGTGCCGCCTCAGGAAAAGAAACCCGAGTTTGCTCAATGGTATTAGGAGAACACGTGGGTCGTGGTGCAAATTCAGCAGTGAAGCAGCGGTGTAAACAAAATCCTGTACAGCCGAGAGGATATTTGGTCCACGACATGTTGTAAATGTTAATGTTCGGTGTCCCATTGTTTTATAGTGCATCGACGGCTCCGTGGACGTTGAAAAACAATCACAAGGAACCACCGTATGATGAAAGCCACAGGAGATTATCCAACAAGCATTCCAAAGCGAACAAGTGAGTCCACGTGCATAAAGGAACACAACAAAAGCCGACACCCGCGGAGAAAAGACAGGGGAGAAGACGTTGATCAATGAGAGAACAGGCGCATACTCGCACAGGCGCAATAATCCCGACACACAGTAATTCATGCAACACATACGTGCAGCAAAATATCTCTCATTGATCTACGCGTCAAAATACGCCCGGACGTCAGTCTGACGAGATGGCTTAGATGCATGCGCTTCGATCATCAACATCCGCGCCCTCTTGAGCAAGAAGCTGGCCTCGTCCAAACCACACCCTGCCGCGTAGTTTTCTAGGGACGCGAAGTGTTGGGAAAGTTCCGTGTAAGGCGGTGGCTCCGCACGCCCGCCTCCGATGTTTCCGCCCTTGTGCCGTCTGAAGTCGACGCTGCACCCAGCAGCGTCGCCTTAGCGGAGCGGCCGAAAGCTTGGATGACGTCCTGGGAGACAGAGATCTTCCCGACCCTTGCCTTTTCGAAGAGGTCCAAGACGAGAGTATCCACCTGCACCAGCCGTTGATGTAGCAGGACACACATTGAGGTCAGGGACGAAACCTATGCAGTACGCTTGGTCGATGGTTTTTAGTGCGGAAAGCCTCCAAATGTCTTTTTGTCTGGACTTGTTTATGCAGAGATATCCACAGAAGAACAGGTGGCTGCTGCATCCATATTTTTGAGATGAAGTATTGTACAGTACAGTAGTAGAACAAACGAGGAGCATGTCAGAAACAAACATGCGTGCATAAACAGGAGAGCATCGAGGATAAACAATTGACGAACTGTAGCAAACGTTGGAGTAGAAACAGAAAATTAACATTTGTAGACAAGGAAATAATTTGATCAAATATACTTGTAGAATGAAAGAAATGAGGCCCCACCAGATAAAAAAAGTCGTGAGTAAAAAAGAAGTCCCCAGCATACATCCCCATGAAGGTTCTGAAAAAAAAACAGAGAAAGCGTTCACTCAATTAGACTTGAATATAGACTCGACAAGAAAAGCACAGAGAGAGCACTCATCATCCGGAAAATGACATGACAACAAGAAGAAAGAACCACGTACCTCCGGAAAATCCCCTGGGCGATTGGACTTCCGGCTTCCTTTGGCCAAAGCGGCATCTCTCTCAAGAGCTTCCCTGTTCTTCTTGATGCTCTGGATCGTCCGCACACCGCAACTAAACTTGTCGGCGACCGCCTCTTGAGTGCTTTTGTTGTCCAGGTCTGAAAGAACCTCCATCTTTTGGTCCAGACTCAACCTCGTGCGCGGCGCACTTCGGTCCGCCTTTTTGCCTCCCACGGCTTTCATGCGTTTTGGGATGCGGCTCGCTTCTTGTGGCTTCCGCTTGCCCGTGGCAGCCGTAGCGGCTTGTTGAGAAGACAAGCACGTATGACAGATGCGATTCATTTCGCTTTCGCCTTCTTCCTCCACCTCGCCGCATATGCGGTGCAGTCTGCCTCCGCATCCTCCTCGGCATTGGTGACCATCGGGGGCTTTAGGTGTGAGGGTGCTGAGATGGCAGAGTTCGCCTGCTGCACATGGCATCGTGCGCCTCTGCTGCTGCTGTTCTCGTGGCCAGTAGGGGTACAGTATACAGTATCCCGCTAGGGGTAGGTTTGTGTACGTTGTGCGGAACTTGTCGACGGGTTTGACCGCGCATTTAGGCCGTCATGACGTCAGACCCGCACTATAGAGGTTTCTGAGATCGACCAAACCCGCACTATACCGGGGTTCCTCTTATAGTGCGGCACCCGCACTATAGAGGGGTCTAAGTTGTGCCAAGCGATTTCACCCGCATTATACCGGGCACCCGCACTATATAACCCGCACTATAGAGGGACCTCGACTGTAGTAGTAGAAGCCCCCTCATCTGTACCCCAACTCTTTGATGTCAGTTGTAGGCTAGGGAAAATCGATCGAATGCCGCGAATCTCCAGAACATTGTTGCTTGCGTCGTCGGGGTCCAAATTCTGTTATCTTGTTCCTATGATATTTGTAACCGTGTTTCGTTTGTTTGATGGGTAAACTGAGTTTTCTCGCTGTCTGCGTGGCATAGGCTTGACGGCAACACCTTGCCTGGTGGTCGAACGAGATTTAGTACCGTCTGTCAGCAGGCTGATACCTTGTTGTTTCCCTGTCCATGCTACCCCGCCCTCTGTCCATGCGCGCTCTTCCAAAAATGTATTCCGGGCATCAATCAGCATCCACGCGTGGCAGCGTGGTCTGGGTAACCAATGATGAAGCATCTCGTGACTCGCAGGCAGAAGCTTCTCCTTTCTCGAGAAAACTGCAAACTGCAACGTAGCTGTGCGCTCGGTGCTTGTAGGCGTTCCTTAAGCCCAACGTGCGTATTCCAGCTCTGGCCAAGCCCGCACCCCGTTGCTACCCACGCGACACGAACATGTTCGTTCAGCCCCACTGCCTGGTCGGCCTCTGCGATTCTGGGGATTGTTTTCTTCTCTTTGTTTATGCTTCATGTGTTGCCCAGCTTCCCATTGATTTCCTGGCAAGATGTGGACAGCTGTGCTCTCTTCTTTTGCTCCTAGAGCAAAGATGTTTCGAAGAGTTCGTGTTCCTCTCGCTGTTGGACAACTTCTCCCGGACATTCGGTGTGGGGAAACGCAAGCTCGTAAGTTTGTGGATGACTACCTGTACCTGCATTCGTGGCCCGCTTTTCCCTCCGGCAGGCGCTTGTGCTCGCTTTGTTGAGCCTTACTTACAGCTGCAGCTACATAGATCGGCATTTTTCTACAGTACGCAGGTCAGAGTTAAGATGGGCGAGGACCATCACTATACGCAGAAAAACTTCATTTTCACTGGTCTCGGGAGATTCCGCCGCCGGTCGCGTGTTGTACTTACGGACGATTCTCCTTCCCTTTCCTGGACACATCACCGAAGTTTGAGCTGTGTTTTTCGGGAAACTACACAAACTCCCTCACCTTCTGCGGTGATGTGACTTGTAGCTCTGCCAACATCAGGCCGAAGGAGAATGCTCATTTGCCGTCACCCGGCAAGATTACAAGCGTGATGTCGCACAACCCTCACCCCACCTCAAGACTACGCCCACCGACCATGCCTTGCACAGTTGAAAAAAAAAAAAACGAGAGGCCAGTGGTCTCTCTCTTTTAATTGCGTCATACTGACTTAACACTCCTGAGGTATTCCCGACGACACTAAACTGAGACCGTTACGTTACGGGTGCGGTCGGTCCTGTCTCCTAATGCTATTCCACACATACGTACAAGACCCCAACGCCCTCGTGCTGTCCGCGACTTGCCGCAGCACGCCGACAAAGAACATCCAGCAACGGTACGTCCGGGGTGGGGGCACGTCACGACAAAAACACCCAACAGTTAACGCTATTGCGGAGGGACCAAGCGAAACTAGTAGCACTTCCAACTTGGTGCTTGCCAACAGCGTCAAGACATCATCACCACGCGCCACATCCTCAGCCGAAACGGACGTGCGTGCGCTGGAAGTGTTGCCTCCCGCCCCCGTGGTTGAAGTGGAACTGCTGACCGCCTCTGCGTTGCCCCCCGCCACCTCCCTGGTTGTCGAACACCTCTTCTCCTCGGTCGTACCTGAAAACACCCACGGGAAGAAAACCAAATTTGGGGGAAAAAAAAAGAGGGGTCAAAAATATGGACATTACTTTCCACGTGATTGATTCGCGTTTTCGCGTGAAAAACGGGACACAGTAGTACTGATGTGCGGTAGGTGCCGCGTGGCCCTGTAACGCCGAGCTATGCATGTTATTGACGGACACAGAAATGCAAGCCTATTGCCGGAGATCCAACTCAAACGAGGTACAAGAGTGTGTCAGGTGCTGGGTTGCGTTCGATGCAAACGCACACACAACCGAGAATGCACGGCTAGAATCCGACAAGACTCAAACAGCGGGTGGGGGAGGGGTGAGGGGCAACACCAGCCGGAGGGGTTGTACCAAGGTACGGAAACGTGAGGGTTTTCAGATTCGAGGTCTTGCTACCATGCTAGCAACCCACGAGTTCCTATTGTGACTTCTTGCCTCCACGATGTGACCCCACCCAACCCAACAGCAGTGTGGCAAACGCTTTCGGGCCGTGTTGTTTCCCACCTTTTCGAGCCCACGGAAATCCGAAAACATGTTTTGTTTCTTCTCTTGAGCAGGCGAAGTCCATATCCTTCTTTGCTGGCTTTGCAGAGAACATCAGGGTCCTACATAGGATACACGGCTAAACGCTACAACGACCAGGGAAGTTTATTGATATCAACCCCGGCTCCCTCGCTCAACCTACCCCCCCCCCAGCAACTCGCGGCGCTTCGCGCTTGGTGATGTGCTAGCCTAGTCCGGTGAAAACCTGGCGTGCTCCGGCCCGGCTTTGTAGGAATGTAAGGTCAATGCTCCAACGACTACGGCTGCACGGCCATGAGTAACCCCCAATCGAATCTCACTTTCCGCGGAGCTCCTCGTCTCCCAGCACCTCGTACGCCTCGGCAACCTCCTGGAAAATCTTCTCCGACTTTAGCTTTTCCTCTTCTCCCTGCACCTTGTCCGGGTGGTGGATCTTGGCCAGGTCTCGATATGCCTGGCGACGAGGGAGCAAATGTTCCGGGATATACATCTCAAACACACCTTATCTGTTAGTAGAGATGACACGTCCTCCAACCCCCCCCCCAAAAAAAAAACACACACACACACAAGACCCCCCAGCACACCCAAACTTGGAAACACCCTAGTTGCTGTGAATCGTTGTGTTACTGCAAGAAAAATAATTGTAAAAAAGAAAAGAAAAATGCGAAACGCCAACGGGATGCATCGTAAAACCGAGAGCATGGTTTTCTTCACTTGTATTCACAGATTGTTGTTGGGGGGCGGCAGGTTTTCTCGTCTCCTGTCGGCCCAAGCTGGGTATTTTCGACATGTAGGTGCGCGTGCGAAATGCGAGTTGAACGTCGTCCTCACGCGATATAACAGGTTTTGATTAAAAAAGGAGATACACAACCAAAACCTCGCCTGTGAAAAAGCGCAAAAGAGCTGCGTCAGCAGAGTTGACGTGCGTGTCCAGACCGAACGTTGATAGCCGATCGAGCCCACGGAACACGCTAGAAAACACCAAGAGGAAAGCGCTACAGTACGCCGACGAAACAAGCATAACCAGTGTTCATCATCTAGACCGAGAGCCACCATGTGCACGTACGGACACTAAACAAGGTCGAGGCGTTCACAAAGGACGAACGGATGACGCCATGACGCACCTTCTTGATCTGAGCCAGGTCGGCATTTCGTGGGACCCCAAGAACCTGGTATCGCACAGACAGACGCCGTCGCACGCAAGAATGGATATAAGCAAACTAATTGATCAAACCAGCTGCTTGTGAGGGCGGACGTGGTGGTGGTGGTGGTAGTGTTGGTGGTGGTGATAGCGGTTACGGGCAAACTACCTGAAGGTAGATCGAGTTTGGGAAGAGGAACGACTTGAAACTAGCTGCACCGTCAGGCCGCGGGCAAGGAGAGCTCAGCATAAAAAAACAGTTCAAAGAACATGACGCGGCTGTTTCCATTCCCACTGTCCAGTAACGCAAGTACTAATAACGCGAGAAGTCGCGGAAAATCAGCCGTAACCGTCATGGAGGCCGCCGTCCCCCCTCCCCGTCCAACTTCCCCCTCACTGGGCCCCTTTTCCTACCGCACAACATTGTGTTTCCCATCGTGTACCCTACCGCAAAACAGTACTCTTCCAATCGTGTACCCATGGCCCCTACAAAACACGCCTCCAAAGGTTTCCCCACCAACCAGCGATCCGCAAAATACCACCCGCGTGGGCGCACCTTGTAGTACTGCTTCTTCTTGCTCTGCTCCAGCAAGATGTTGGCCTGCTTGAGCTTCGCTCTAGCCTGGTCCAAGACCTCCATGCCGATCTCCTTGACCTTGGTCTCCGCTCTGGCGTAGGCGTTCACCGCCTCTTGGAACTCCTCAGCCTCCTGGTGGACATCTCCCATCACGATCTCCGCCTGAGCCCCAACCTTTTTTCAGGGTTCGGAACAAAAGAAGCCCACAAGTGACACACGGACGGCGAAAGAAGTGAACAACACAGCAAATGAAGATGCTAAGGTAAGGGCGACCGGACTAAACAAACAAACGAAAGAAGATTGTAGCAACACAGCTAGGGGAGATGGTTGAACAAACAAAACACGGCGAAAGACGTGAACACCACAGCAAAAGAAGATGCTAAGGTAAGGGCGACCGGACAAAACAAACAAACGAAAGAAGATTGTAGCATCGTGTGACGAGGATAAACGGATGGCGGTATCGACGCAGCACTGTGGCAGCTGTGGCGAAGGTATACACCACCCACACCAACTACAGCAGACAGCAGACGAATGCTGAAAGGCGCTGTTCGTGGTTCGCGGAAGCACATGGCGATTCCCATCTTGCGTCTTGTGGGTCGTGCCTGCCGCTTTTCTCTATCTCTTTGCCCTCGGTCTCTCTACCCCTGCCTTTCTCTCTTTCTTTCCAGGTATCCCTCTCTCCATATATCGCTCTGTGTTTCTCACCTCTCCATCGGGGTGTGTGTTGAGGCACTCCTGCGCGGCCCTCTTGGTCTCGGCCCAGTCCTTCGCGCCGAGATGCGCCGAAGCAATCTGTGTGGCATCCGTGCCAACAGCCGGACAACGACGACAACCCCAAACAGACACAAACGTCGTCAACCGTAGTTAGTGCATACAATATCCACGACACAGCAGTGTATGCAACTAAAGGGTTGCCTGCATGAAAGTAGAACAGAATGGCAAGCCACAACCCACACCTTCATGCATGATAGCCTCACAGTATAGCACATGGGGAGAATAGCACAGGGGAGGGTGCAGGGAGAGACGGTGACACTCTGGAACGCTTACCTGCCTGCCACGCTAGGCACCCGGTACCATTCAGCACGAACCAGAACCATAACCAGAACCAACGACGACGCACACACACACACATACGCCGACCACCCTAGAAATACACAGCCGATTTCTCACACCTTGACCCTACACCTGCTCTTGGTTGTTGCTTTTTTTTCGCCTACACGCAGTGCTCACTACTTGCTGCGGTATCCAGAGAGGCGTCCTGTCCTTGTGTCGAGAAGAACCTCATCGTAACCGATAACCTGTTCCAAAACTATGCATAAATCTCGTCATACTCCCTCTGTCTCTGTCTCTGTCTCTGTCTCTCTTGTCTGTCTGTCTCCCTGTGTCTCTCTCTTTCGCCCTCGCCCTCTCCCTCTCCCTCTCCCTCCCGCTCCCCGACCCCTCTCACCCTCAACAGCAACGGCCCCAACAACGCCGGATTGTCCGGCTCCAGCGCCGTCGCGGCCCTCCACGCCTCCGTCGCGCCGGCGACGTCGCCGCTGCTAAGCAGCTCGGCGCCGGCCTCCACCTTCTTCACCACGGCGCGACAACGCCGGTGCTGCTCGCGGCAAGGACCGTTGTCGGGGTCGTCGAGAAGGACCTGTTTCGCGGGGGGACAAGGACGAAGAAGACACGTTCAATTTTGTTTTGGTTCATCACTGTGTAAGTCAGCGCTCACAGAACTTTACCCTGGCAGTAGGAGCTTAAATCCGTGTCGGTCACACAGAATTAAGGCTTTGATCAAAGAGGTAAATAGCGTCTGCGAAAAAAGACGTCAGTCAGCTTTTGTCAAAAGGACGTGACGCCTGCCGAAGAGACAGATCAGTCCAAGCAGAACGAAAAATCGATGCAAGCAGAATCAACACAGAAAACCGACACGGTGCCGGCCTCCCCATAAGCCACGAGACTGACTGATGCTCAGCAGGAAGCTCTACGCCCCGTGGGTTCCTTCACATGGCTGGTTGCTGCAGTGCAGATACGACGAGCTGAAAGCATAACAGCATCTTTTGGCGATGTCCTTGGAAATGTCATGCTGCTAACCTGTCGGAAGTGGTTGCCAGCTAGCTCGTAGTCCCCGAGTTGAATGTAGCACCGCCCTCGCAGCTCCAACGCCTCCGCCCGCTCTCTTGCCGCCTAGTTCGACACACGAATATACCGCATCGAGTCAGAGCTGTAGGTACGTGCGTACCCATTCGCATGATCCCTCCAAGCAGGTCAACTTCATGAGATGAGAACACAAGCACAACACACGTGCGGCAGCAGGCACGAGTGAAAAGGCAAACCACTACGCCCACGGCAATCGCTCGCCATCTCGACGACGTCGACAACAATACTGCCCCAACGCTACGGCAGCAGCAGAGTAGCCCCCCGCACAATACTCTACTTCCTGCGTACCCACCAACGAGGAGACTACATGCTCACACGGGTGGCAGAGCAGCGTACGCTATACACACACCTACCCCCCCCCTAGCGCGTTCGTGCAAACATAGCAGGTGCAGCAAGATGCGAAGTCCCACACTACCTGTAACCCCAACCCCGCTGGGCAATCCCCTCCTTGACAAGCTCTAGCCACCACCGCTACTCTACGTCTCTTTCTCTACGCCGCGAGTCTTTTCTCTTCCAAGCAAACAAACGCCCCACACGGAAAAAGACGCACACAGATAGAAGAATTTCCCTAATGTAGACGCACTGAGAATAGACGTATTGTCATTGGTTAGCCGGTTAGCGCGGTTCGATACTAATCGGCAAAGACGCCCACACACGCTTTAGAAGAACTTTCTTTTTCGGTCGCACTGAGACTAACGCCTTTTCAGCGGGGTCGCGCGGTCGATGCTAACAATGAAAACATGAAAACAAACACACCTACACAAACCTGCAAAACACGACCCCAAGCCCTGGCCTTAGCACCAATCAAAACCCCTGCACACCTTGTCGTCGTCTGCCTCCGCCGCCACCTTCGCCGCCCTTCCCGCGTCCGCCGCGGCCTGCAGCCACCGCCCGAGCGCGAAGTGGCACCGGGCTCGCCGGATGAGGAGCTCCGCCCCGACAAGGTCAAGCTGCTCGTCCAGGATGGCGTCGTACGCTTCCGCGGCAGCCTGCCATGTGTCGTTGGGGTTCGAGCACGACAAAGCGGGGGGGGGGGGGGGGGTACTCCTTACCGTGTTGCATGCCTTAGCGGTCAGACCATTGACCGCGCGTCCTCAAGAGGACGGAGCACGGGGAAAGGGAGGGACTCGGAATCATGATTCGAGCCGGGGCGGCTCTCTCGTCCTATGAACCGAAGAACACCTGCCCTGTTGATTGTTCTTACAAAGAACACAACAAATCCATCTCTTCCGTAGATAAGAGCCCGTGGTATTATAGTAGCAATTAGTTTTAGTATTGGTGACCACTATTTTTACGGTTCCCGAGCAGCATACATCCGTCCTTTTCTTCATATCCATCGTTTTTTAGTACTGCACCTACCTCCCAGTTCTTCTGCGCTTCCGCGGCGCCCCCCTCAGCCAAGCGCTGCGCGCAGGTGATCGCCAGGGGGTAGAGGGTTTCGAGGTCGGCGTGCTTGGGGTCGATCACCTCGAGGGCGGCGTAGTCCTTGGCGGCTTCCTCGCAGTGACCCATCATGCGAAGCAGCTTCGCGCGCTGGGCCAACGCCTGCGTTATTTCGTCGTGTCGGATGTTTTTTGTTTTTGCGGCGGAGGGGGGGCAGAGGGACGGAGTTATGACATACATGCTTCCAAGTACAATGCGAGAAAAAGCCAAAAACTACTCGTTGTATCAAAAAGCGGTGATGTAGAGGTGGGCAGGAAGTTAACACGAAGAGGGGCAAAACACATCTGATTGCAAGAAACCTACGTGAGCAAATAGTGCAGTACGGGGCAGTACAGCAGTACGGGGGGAGGGGGGTGCGGAGAGTAGAAACAAGCAGGGTCAGGCAGGTGCAACCTCTCCCCAAGCGAAGCGAGGTAGAACACCCGCGTCACACAAACATGCCCAAAAACCCAACATACCTCCTGCCGCAGCCGATGTTCCTAAGACTTTCGGTATGCGTGCAAACACGGGCGCACACACACCGGAGGCGAAATACATGCAATATCGTAGCGCGCGCCCCAAAACTCGGACACACACCTGCTTGTACTTGGGCTTGAGCTCTAGCGCCCGGGAAAGGTCCTGGATGGCCTCGGCGTACTTGCGTTTCGATAGGAACACGCGGAAGCGCTTGTAGAAGTTCCGCTCGTTCTTCGGCTCTAGCTCGATCACCTGCACACCATGACACCCACCCGGGAACGTAGGGGGGGGGGGGTTCGGAAAAGGTTCTCGTACTTGGTGCCAAGGTTACAGCAGCCAAGAGCTGGAGACTCCTGCTGAACTGCTCTATAGGGGAGCAGGCAAAACGTGCAAGGCTCGAGCCCGGGTTCCATGGACGACAACCCGGGCGGGTTGCGCTCGTCAAGGCATATATTGCCACGGGCAGGTACTGGGAAATGTATATGGGGTTTTCGTGGAGATATGCCGAAGCATGGAACGACGGGGACAGCGGTATGCCCAGGAACACGTTGCGGCAACCATTGCAAGTGTCAACACAGCGGTAGTTGCTTCTGGGCGGCCACGACCATAGTTAGAGTCAATGGGGGTACAACCTATTGCTGAAACCTGAAGGCCGAGCGACGAAATCGCTTCTGGTGGTCGGCGAAAAAGCGAGGAGGCAGGGGAGGGACCCGTCTGCCACCGGGTCGCCAACATTCAGCACGGGACAAGAGGACGACGGCCCCCTGTCGAACATCAGCTGCACTACAAAAGAAAAAAAAAAAACGACATCTATTGCTTTCTGAAGACACACGCGGACCTGCGAGAAGAGGCGGATCGCCTTCTCGTGCTCCCCCTTGGAGATGGCCAGTTCCGCCCCGGACCGGAGCGCCGACGCCGACGGCGGCGCCGCCTCCTTCGCGCCGCCGCTGTCGTCGGCCTGCGTGTGAAGAAAAAAGAGAGCGCAGGCACGCACGAATTGGGAATCGAAACAGCAGAAGTCTCAGAGAAAAAAATACTATTTAGACGGAGATGCTGTTGTTGGTGCTGTTGCTGTCTTCACATTAAAAACCGTTCCGTCCTCTCTACCCAGTACTTTCTTCTGTCCGTACTACTGTAGCCTAACACTTGACGCGGTCGATTCCCGTGGTCACAGGCTAACTTACACAAAAAAGGTATACGAAAAATAACGTGGACCGGAAGGATCCGCAAGTCAATAGAATCAACGACAGACTAGAAGGGACACTCTGCTCGCCTCTGCACGCTATGCGAGGTAACCAACCATAGACTGGAAAAAAGGAAAGCAAAAGCACAAGAACAAAAAAAGAGAGCAGAGGGAGAAAGGGGACTGGGCCGTGGAAAAACCATCCTTGCTTGGATTGTCCTCCCCACTTCTCAGTAGTCTACGCAGCAAAACTGATCAAGCAAACATATGGGATGGAGTATTGAATCCGTGCTTTGGGGTTAGGGTTAGGGTTAGGGATAGGGTCTGCGTGCCCCCTCCCTATTCTTTCTCTAGATACTCTTGAAAATCCTGCGTAGGCGGTCCCCTCTTCTCCCTGTGTCGGCACGCCTCTAATTGATTTTGGTCACACCGTGTGTGAAGAAATGGACGTGAAGCTTCGTACCGAGTGTCCATATAACGACTCAATATTTTTGGGCCTACGAACAGCTCCCGTCGGTTTGTGTCCGCTTGTTTCTTCTTTAACCAGCGTGACCGCGCCAACCCACTGGCCAATGAAAATACGCCAGTTTTCAGCGCGACAACAAAACCCGAAATCGCATTTATTGCTGTTCCGTGGGGGGCCCTGGTTCGGGGGCCGCGGGCGAATGGAGGGACGAACGCTTGTTGCGGGCATATGGGGATTCCCAGTTCGCGATGGGGCAGGTTCATACCGAATGCTGTATAAACCTCTTGCCTTCGGGGAATAGAAAAAAATGGTAATACCCATGAATCGTGCGGTAGGCAGTAGACGTCGGTGCACCACATTTTCCAGCAGGATCGCGCGCCCCCCCTCCAACAACAACAACAACAACCACGACGTGTATCCCGTTGTGAACGTTGTATATAAACAGGCATGTGCATGAATGAAAATATGAGTGTTGGAGCCGGGGAACGGCTCGCGGCGTATCATGAATTTGAACGATAGGCACCCAAAAGCTGCAGACAGCGACCCCCCGCAAAATCGCACGATCACGTCGTTCTCTCTTGGCATCCTTTTCAGCGCACCCCAGGTTCCAGGCAGAGCTCACGTCTGCCCTTTCCAGGCTGTGGGGAGCCGTGTTGCACCTGAATCTGCTGCTGGGTCGGGTGGAGGAGCTCCACAGATGCGCCATCAACGCCCGCGGCGCCATGTGCCGCATGCCGCGAGATACGCGAGATAAGTCGGCTGGTCGAAACCGTGGAATGGCTGACAGAATCAGGTTCAAATCTCGAGGCGGCCATCAGCGGCGGGGAGAATCGATTCACCCCGCCCGTGGTGGCCCGCCCCG